TGGAAGGAGGTTCCATCGACGTAACGTTTCCCCTTCTCCGTGGGTCCAGGAAGTAGAAGCAATAATTATTTCTTCGTTGATATTGTTACGGTGGGGACCGGTTTACTCGACGAATTCTCGTTTCGCGGTGCAACACGGATGACATAACACAGGTCGAACCCCGGCGAATTTCACGTTCAACCGTAACTTACAACCAGGAAAGAATCCAACTGTTTCGTTCGAAGAAATGTGCATTCTGTATCCTCTTCGCGTGCTGGATAGAGAGAGAGAGAGAGAGAGAGAGAGAGAGAGAGAGAGAGAGAGGGAGGGAGATTTCACGTGAACGAAAGCGAGTAAAAATATCGAAGCGATCTGTTTTGGGGTCGACGAGCAATCATGTCACGGCCATTCACGCGAGCCAACGAATCTTAGGATCGCCACTTTTGGCTCGATTGACGCATCGATGATGCCTAACGTGACAAATCCGTGGCAACGTTTTGCAATACTGTTTCCGATGTAGGTCGTTCGATTACAAATTGTCGCCGTTCACGGGATAGAAGGCGAGACAGAGATGCGCCGCGGCTCGTGTCGAGCAAACTTTCATCCTTCCTCTGTTTTTCTGCGCGCACAGTCAAACGAGATGTCAGTCTCTCTCGCCCACTTCCATACCTTTAACCTTCACCGAGGTGAAAGTTCAGAACCTCGTTGAACAGCTTCGTGGTAATGATACCTACCTTTTGCGAGAATCTCGTTTCGAGTGAAACGCACTGCTCGACTTTGCGGGCCGTTCAAACGCGATACATACAGTTTTGCATACCTTTGTGACAATAACAGGTAGATATGCATACATCTAGTCCGTTGTTTCCCGATGGGTACGCTATATCAGTTATACCGCACCAGAGAGGATGAGTTTTTAGGCGCCTTAGTTTCCTGAAAGCGTGCTAATTGAAAATAGAAATGCCGTTGCGTGATACATATTTCAAAAGTTTAGGCGGAAATGTTATTAATCGTAGCAAAGTCACGTATACATGTATATGTATGCTACATATTTCTGATAGAGATACACTATGCTCCGCAAAATTTTCTATCTCAAAGTTTCACCCAAGCGGAGATTTCGAATTATTTTACCTGTGATTATGGAATTGGTGTAAGTTGGAAATTTTTTCAAAATTCTCACTTAATTTGGGTTAGTCGGAAATTGGACCATTAGGTAGAATTGACAGTTGTATGTTTAAACAAAATTTAGTTCCAAGGAAATAGGCCTAAATCAAAATAGGTCATCTGACAGAGGTCTAACGATAAAAAATTATTTGCATTAGAATAATATGCGACAATTTTCGCAAAATGGTCAGAAACCGAACCACTAAATTCTTACTTATGCAATTTAAAAAAAATTCAGCTCCAAAAGAAGAAGATCCAAATACACTCGAGACGAAGAATACGCGACTTATGCCACTTTCGCGGTCACAATCGTTCGCGATGAAAGTCGATCAGAAACGTTGAACTTCGGTTTCTTCCCGTGCACTTTCTATCACGCACCCGACGGAGTATAGTATTTGCAATATATGTGTCGTTCAACGTAGCAACAGAATCTCTCGTCTATCGCAACTAGATAGTATCCGTACAAGAGGAAGCATTTAGAAGTACAAGCACCCAAAGACACACAAGAGTCACCATCGCGTAGAGAAGCAGTAAAACCCTGTCCTTCAAGCAAACCTAACCTAAGAGTTACGCGATCACACAAGCTGAAATATAACCGGGCCAGAAATATCGGTGATAAAATGTTAACAGGTTCGCCTAGTGCGTTCATCGACGCGAACTTAAACACGACACCGCGTTTTCGTACCGCACGCATTTCGTATTCGGAGTAATCTTAAACTTCTAGTACTTTTATAGTGCCGCCTGGCAAATGGTTATGCATAACTTGGTGTATTGCGGATACGTAAAATAAGTAGAGCGTACAAGCTTAAGAGAGACGCTCATTGTTAAGAAATATGCAGTGACGATACTGCCAAGCCATAAAACACGTCAACTCGCTCCTAACTTGTATCCACCTCTATGTTCTTCTCCTCTTCTTTCTTTTCTCTTCTTCTTTTTTTTTTTAATGGATTAATTTATTATTTTATATACGCCACATCTCGTATGTGCGGATGAACGATCGATGTTATCATTTGTTAAATATAACGCGCGTACGACTGTACTTTTTATATATATATGCACGTATGTATGTGTTTACGAAATCGCGTTAAGTATGTAAATATACGATCTATTTGTAAATAAAATGATTTTTGTTTCTTTTCTTTTTGCTTCCTGTGTTCGATTCCTCGAAATGCACTGGTTTCAGAGAGCAACCTATTGACCCTTTGCTCTCGAAAGCTTTTTCGTTGTAGGGAAGTAGCGAATTAGAGGTTGTTTGCTAAGTAAAATAGATGAAATTTTTGAAAACTACTTTATGTCAATATTTCATGTATTTCTATGGTACAAGACCTTGTAGCACCTCGTTAGAAATTGGTTCTTTCAAACTATTTCACTGCTTAGACCTCTAACACATGGTGAATAATTTATGGAGGTCCATAGACCTGCTGTCCTGGAAATAATTTGAGGGTGTCTTCGTTAATAATTTACCAAGTGATAAATAATAACGTCGCTTCTTAGTCATCTCTCGAGTACAAAGAGCGAATTGCAAAATTACTGTGAGAATGAATGGAAAATAATTATGAACGAAGTAGAAGAATCCGTAATAAGATGAAACTTCGAAATGTATCTATCGATCCTTTTTATAATACACAAATTAATATATTAAAATATATTTTAAGGTAGATTTGACTCATTTTGTTAACCCTTTCGTGACGAATGTGATATTTATTTATCGATCATCACGTCCGCAACAGATATTAATTCTTATTCCAATATGAAAGCGTCCCACTGGTCACGAAAGGGTTAAAGACGTTTAAAAAATGACTTCTCTGTATCTCGATACTTGCAGTATCGTCACACCTCGGAATTTCAACGAATATTCCCACTACAAATTCGTTCAACAACGGTACCTCGTCGAAGTTCACCAAAGAGTGACGTTTTCATAAAACTTCGTTTGCTTTTTCGAACTTAATATCAGCGAGGTTAAAATACCACTTTGCAAAGCGGGTGTTCTTTAACGAAACTGACAAATTTCGCCGGTATATTCACGAGGTTATTCGAAGCAGAAAAGGTTCTACAAATTATGCGACAATTCGGTCTCGTTTCGAAGATACGTAAAGTTTATCGATGAAATTTACAGGTCGGTTATCAGCTTTATACGAAGCTAACGTATTACCTTCGCGCGTAGTGTTCGAAATAGTCACTTTGTGTCTATACACTTTTACGTATACCTACTTCTATTGACTGCATCCACCGTAGCACAATGGTAAATTTCAGCAGCGACGCTAACAACAAGCTTTAGCTGCGCTTTGTTTAGCTATGCTTTCACGTATATTTGGCTTTTCATTCAAGCGCACTCTAAATTTTATGCAATCCATACAGTACAGATTTACCTCATTGCGATCCATATCTTGGCAACGGCCTCAATCGATCTATACATTAGGTAATCCTGTTTGCCTAAAATAACCTACCAAACATGCCGGCGATGTTTATCAGCTTCATTGTCGTACGGCCTGTAGAAAATATTGCAATAAAACACGTTCTTCGTGTAGTATATACGCGAATATTTTTGTTGTTAAATACTCTGTCAACAAACTGTCAATTTTTGCGAAAATATCGCAATAATGGCTTATTAGCGATCACTCTAAACACCTATTAGGTGATTCTATAAGTTCGCGACGAATTTTATAATTTAGATCAGTATTTCCAGAACCCTTAAATTTGATAAAAGTAAAAATGTAAACGCCTTCTGATTACACAAATTTTTCCTTTTTTTTTTTTTTTTTTTGGTAAGAACATAGAATTTCCTTGGATTTTCGTTAAAATATTTTTCGCCTTCGGTAGGAATTTATGGGATGATCTAATATTTTAATTCATTCATATCAGTGAGATTGTTGCAACACAGAATGTGATAATTTAGAAATACAATTGGAAAAACTTTAGTAATTATTAATCTAAGACAATTTCCAAAAAGAAAAGTAATTTCACTATATTGCACAATATATTCGAAATTAACGGTTGTACTTAAAAATTAGACTGTTGGAGGAATAAATTTGTCGTCGTTTACGTAAACCGAGATTATCGAATACCAGCATACTGCACGCTTCAGTTTGCATTATCAACAGGAAGTAAGCACAATAGAAATAATTGTTTTCACCTTTCTTCGTCGTCTTTTTCAAACATCTCCAGATTTGAACAACGAAATCGCTCAGATTCAACCAACACACGACTGTTTTACTGGGAAAATAAAAGGAGAGCTAAAAGAAATCTGGGGAGCCAGGAAATCGCAGTTGTTAAACTTTGCCTCGCCGCGAGAGCTACTTACGCACGGACATCCAATAGAATTCCCAAGCATTTGGCATTCTGTTTATCTCGATCTCGCGCTGTTTTCCCTTCGTGCTGTTCATTCGACTGGCTGTAGCCCCGACATTTCAGCGATTGAGATTCGCGTTTTCGGTTTGCGAGCTCGTTCCTCGACCACATCTCACGTTAACAGTCCCAAAACGCTGGCCAAAACACTTGACGGTTGTTGCAAAACTCGTGGTGGCCGGCTACGTA